AACAAACGGTAACATGCCCTGTTTGAGAATAAATATAAAGTTCTTGCCCTTAAACTGCTGAGTAGAATATGTAGTTGAATTGTAAAGTACATATGCTTTTACTTTACCCATCTGAGAACAAGAACAATCCATCCGTTGTATAGCATAACAAAGTGCTTGATACTTAAATACTTTCAGTGAGAGAACATATCCGAATAACCCTTACATCTCTCTCCTTTGTAGAATATAAAGGTAAGAGTGATACTAAAAATACTTAACAGTTTTTACAGTATGAGCACTGTGAAGACCTGAATAGACTAATGTCACTTAACGAGGATCTTTCTTGTGAACCCGCTGGTGGATGTGAAGGTTGGAGCTCTGGCTGAAGCCCTTCCCACACTTGCTGCACTCATAGGGCTTCTCTCCTGTATGTACTCTCTGGTGGATGAGGAGTTTGGAACTCTGACTAAATCCCTTCCCGCACTTGCCACAGTGATAGGGCTTCTCTCCGGTGTGGACTCTGAGATGGATGCGAAGATCCGAGCTCTGGCTGAAACCCTTGCCACACTCATAGCATTGGTAAGGCTTCTCTCCTGTGTGGATGCACCGGTGAATGTGAAGGTTCGAGCTCTGACTGAAGCCCTTCCCACACTCGCCACACTTGTAGGGCCTCTCTCCTGTGTGTACTCGCTGGTGGATGTGCAGGTTTGAGCGTTGACTGAAGCTCATACCGCACTCCCCACACTCATAGGGCTTTTCTCCAGTGTGGACTCGCTGGTGGATATGCAGTTTGGAGCTCTGACTAAAGCCCTTCCCACACTTGTCACATTTATAAGGTTTCTCGCCTGTATGGACAGCATGATGAATGAGCAGACTTGAGCTCCTGGTGAAGCCCTTCCCACACTTGTCACACTTATAAGGCTTCTCATCCGTGTGGACTGTCTGATGGATAAGCAGACTCGAGCTCCTTGTGAAGCCCTTCCCACACTGCTCACATTTGTAGGGCTTTTCTTCTGTGTGGTCTCTCTGGTGAAGTAGTAGCTCTGACCTTTGACTGAAGTTCTTACCACACTGACTACATTCACATTGTTTGTCTGTAGTGTGGGTTTTCTCATACGGATGACCATCTGGGCTGGTGTTAAGTATTTCCCCACAGTTATTACGGTCACAGGGTTTCCCCTCTGTATGAGCTCTCTGCTGACTATAACTGACCATCTGTGATTTCCATAAATAAATGTCTTTGCAGTTACAGTCAAGGGGATCTAAAAATTCTTTTAACTGGCCATTCTGGCAAGTTGCCTCACCACTTAACAATGGTGAGGCCAGTTCTGGTCCATGAGACAGCAGTTTAACTTGAAGGTTCTCTGAACAACTTTCTCCCCTTTTCACTTTTCTCTCAGTGCCTTCTTCCATTACAAAGAGATGTTTGCTTTCCTGATGATCCTGAGGCTCATTCTTACAGAACTTCACTGAAGAGTTTTGTGTGTCTATTTGGCTTGGGACTTTCAGAGACAAATATGTTTCACTTTCAATGTTTTTGAAATCATCACTTTGAAGAGTCATCATATCGTCCCTGTTTCTCAAAATATAAGAAGATGCTTCTCCCCACTGTTGACAAGGGGAAAGATCTAGTTCAGGCTCCCCAGCCACCTCCCCTTGATGATTCACAATACAGTCCCGACTCCCAGTAATTATACTGGCCATCCCTTCCAAAATTAGCCAGCAGGAAAGCTCATGTAACAGATCCTGAGTGCTTTCTGCTGAAGATTCTCCACAGAATTTTCACTCAAGTTGCCTAGGGAACAAAGAGAATTCAGTGGTAAGAACAAAGGGTAGACTTCAAGATTTCAAGAATGGGAGTGCCGAAGGCTTAGTAACTAGGAAAAAATTCAGCTTGTCCTTATAGTCATTCATATGCTTTGGGTTAATGTCAGGTACATTTGTATCTGGGTACAAGACAGGAATTTTCTCTTGGCTTTTAAGCATAGCCAAGGAAATTCTTCCCATACTAATCCTACAAAAGGCTGTAAGTCCTATATCCTTGCTGACGATAACATTTCATCTCACCTCACTTCCTTTTATTTTTTTTTTTATTTTTTTTTGAGAGAGTCTCGCTCTGTTGCCCAGGCTGGAGTGCAGTGGCGTGATCTGGTCGCACTGCAACCTCCACCTCCTGAGTTCAAGCAATTTTCCCACCTTAGGGATTACAGGTACATGCCACCACGCCCAGATAATTTTTGTATTTTTAGTAGAGACACGGTTTTGCCGTGTTGACTAGGCCAGTCTTGAACTCCTGGCCTCTAGTGATCCACTTGCCTCAGCCTCCCAAAGTGCTGGGATTACAGGTAATGAGCCATCATTCCTGGCTTACTTTCCTTTAAGTAAATATGCATTTAATTGGTATTCTGCTTTCAGAGGTGTTGGGGATACAAGGAAGAAAACAGAAATCCTTTTGCTTAACAAGCTAAAGTTTCCTGGGAAGAAAGACAAATATATCAAACAATGATACTACTAAGTGAGTGGTGTAGACGACTGTATAGTACAATAGAGTACAAGGAATGTATGCACAACCAGCCACGAAGGCACAGAAGAGGAACACCGACCTCAGACCCTGGGGTTTAGGAAGACTTCTGGGAGAAAATGACAGGGAAAAAAAAGAGAAGTGAAATGTGGAAGAAATACAAGTGGCTTCTTATGAAGAAGATAAAAAGGTAACAGTGGTGAAGAATGTGCCCCGGAGGGGAAGTAAGAAGCTAGAGCAAAGGGCTTAGTGTCTAATTATAAGGACCTTAAGGTTAAACCCTACAGGGATTGAGAACTATTAAAGGATTTAAATTCAGAGTGAAATGATTGACTCTGTGACTATAAACACCACTGGAAAGCAAGACTTTAGGTAGCAAGATGGCCGCTGTAACAAATCAGAAGAAAACGGTAAGGATGATGGTTGTGGAGAGAATGGGAGAGATTCATTCTAGATCATGTGATGACAAACTGAACCTAGAAGAGAAAGGAGGTGCTAAGCCTGTTCCTTGGGATCCCTGCCTGAGTGACTGGGTATGGTGGTGCTGTATAATCCGATAGGAAATGCAAGAGGAAGAAGCTGACGTAGGGAAGGGAGCAGAAACTCAAATCTGCCTTGTATAATCTGTGGTGCTGGTAGAACAATTCTTGCAGCACTGGTCAGTAAGCAGTGAGATACATACAGGTCTGGAACTCCTGTGAGAGAACTGTGCTAGGAATACAGAGTTTAGACTTACTGGTATATTAAACAAACAAACAAACAAAATATCCTCGGACTTACTATTCCTAAATGATAAAGAGCAGATGTATTAGGAGTGATGCAGAAACTAGGGGGAAAATGTACAGCTCAAATCATGTATAATAGAAGGCTTCTTCACGGGCAAAGCATCTTATAAAATTTTAGAAATTCAAACGCCAAACTTAGAATCAATTACTACAAAGGGAACACTGACCCCATTTCTCTAGAGTCTATGTCTCAGGAAATAATAAATAATGATAAAGACATTTCTTAATTCAACCTAGGCATTCCTAAGTGCTAGTTTCTGCTGTTAGTAGCACTCTCCCAGCTCGCCCTCATTTTCTTAGAAATATTGGATGGCTAACAGCAGTGGCCTCATATAAAGCCCCAAGAATAAAATAAACAATCTGCTAAAAAAAGGCTGCTAATAGTATTAACTGGACTGAAGAGAAAAGCAAAGGTTGAGGTAATGCTAAACCAACACAATGACTGATTAAGGTACAAAAAAGAAGCAATTGACAACATATGTGCCAAGAATAAAACCTCAAGCTAAATTTTTATTTTATTTTTTTAGACAGTCTCCCTCGTCACCCAGGCTGGAGGTGCAATGGTGTGATCTCGGCTCACTTCAAACTCTGCGTCCCAGGTTCAAGCGGGTCCTGCCCCAGCCTCCCAAGTAGCTGGGATTACAGGCACCCACCACCACTCCTGGCTAATTCTTGTATTTTTAGTAGAGATGGGGTTTCACCATGTTGGCCAGGATGGTCTTGAACTCCTGAGCTCAGGTCATCCACCTGCCTCAGCCTCCCAAACTGCTGGGATTACGGTTGTGGGCCACTGCGGTTGGCCCTCAAGCTAAACTTTTAATGGTAGTTCTGACAAAGAAGATGCCCAGGGCTGGAAATGAAGAAGCAAGGCATGCCCCCAGGTAACTTAGTGTCAAAAGAGGTGGCCTTAAAAATGACCTACACTGCTTTGCAGGGGAGCATGGGGACTAGGAGGCCCACCTGAGGCTCAGCCCTAGCCCTCAGCCCACCCACCGGGGGAGTTTACTGCTTGGATACTCCCCTTGCCCATGCCTCCAGCCACAAAACAATTCGATTTGTTTTTCCCAAAATAAAACCTCAGCTAGCTCTGCCAACTGTCCCCCCACCCAAACAAACAAACAAAAAAAGGCCTACAATATCCCACCATCTGGATTCTTATTACCTCCCTCTTAGCCCAATCAGCGGAAGTATCCCCTAAAGTAGAACACACATGCCTGCCAAAGTGGTTCAAGCACGGGTTGAGGACACACTCCAGAATCATACTGAGAAAACAAGAATTTTGAAAAAATATAGGAGACAAACAGAATTTTTTTTTTTTTGGCGTTGGAGTCTCGCTGTCACCCAGGCTGGAGTGCAGTGGTGTGATCTCGGCTCACTGCAATCTCTGCCTCCCAGGTTCAAGCCATTCTTCCGCCTCAGCCTCCCGAGTAGCTGGGACTACAGGCATGTGCCACCACGCCCAGCAAATTTTTTATATTTTTAGTAGAGATGGGGTTTCACCATGTTAACCAGGATGGTCGTGATCTCCTGATCTGGTGATCCGCCTGCCTCAGCCTCCCAAAGTGATGGGATCACAGGCGTGAGCTACCACACCTAGCGGACAAACAAAATTTAAAAGGTACATAATTAAAATCCCAGAAAATTGGAGTGGACATCACATTTAAACACAATCTAATAATAAAATACTAAACGTGCTCCCCAGAGCCTACGTGTGCATGCGCGGAGCGCGCACGCGGCGGTTGGGCCGTTGGCTGCGCCGCCCCGGGATCCACCGCGACTCCGCCATCAGCAGCCGCCGTGAGCACGCGGATTCCAGCCGGTGCCAACGAGCCCGGGGGCACAGCCCGCGGCGGCCAAGCTCAAGGCCGGCTGAGCGGGACACCGCCTCTGCCTCAGCCACCGCCGCCGAAGACTACTGGGACTGGCGCCTGCGACGAACAGGAGGAGGAGGAGGAGGAGGTCGAGCGGCCTCACCCCGGGCCGCCGCCCCAGGCGCCGCCTCGCGGGCCCCGCAGCTCTGAGGTTGCTCGCGCTCCCTGCCAGTCGCCATGGATCGGATGAAGAAGATCAAACGGCAGCTGTCAGTGACACTCCGAGGTAGCCGAAGCACAGAAAAGACCAATGGTGCCACTGAGCAGATGGGCCTGGATGAGAGTGGTGGTGGTGGTGGCAGTGACCCCGGAGAGGCCCCCGCACGTGCTGCTCGTGGGGAACTTCGCTCTGCACCAGAGATTGTGCATGAGGACTTGAAGATGGGGTCTGATGGGGAGAGTGAGCAGGCTTCGGCCACATCCTCGGATGCGGTGCGGGCTCCGGTGAGAGTGCGCATGCGCAGCCATCCCCCACGCAGGATCTCCACTGAGGACATCCACCAGCGCCTATCGCTACCGGCTGACATCCGGCTACCTGAGGGCTACCTTGAGAAGCTGACCCTCAATAGCCCCATCTTTGACAAGCCACTCAGCCGCCGCCTCCGTAGTGTCATCTTGTCTGAGATGGGCTTTGGGAAACTGGAGACTTACATTAAGCTGGACAAGCTGGGCGAGGGTACCTATGCCACCGTCTACAAAGGCAAAAGCAAGCTCACAGACCACCTTGTGGCGCTCAAGGAGATCAGACTGGCACATGAAGAGGGGACACCGTGCACCGCCATCCGGGAAGTATCTCTGCTCAAGGACCTCAAACACGCCAACATTGTTACACTACATGACATTATCCACACGGAGAAGTTGCTCACCCTTGTCTTTGAGTACCTGGACAAGGACCTGAAGCAGTACCTGGATGATTGTGGGAACATCATCAACATGCACAACGTGAAACTGTTCCTGTTCCAGCTGCTCCGTGGCCTGGCCTACTGCCACCGGCAGGAGGTGCTACACCGAGATCTCAAGCCCCAGAACCTCCTCATCAACGAGAGAGGAGAGCTCAAGCTGGCTGACTTTGGTCTGGCCCGGGCCAAGTCAATCCCAACAAAGACGTACTCCAGTGAGGTGGTGACACTGTGGTACCGTCCCCCTGACATCCTGCTTGGGTCCACGGACTACTCCACTCAGATTGACATGTGGGGTGTGGGCTGCATCTTTTATGAGATGGCCACAGGCCGGCCCCTCTTCCCGGGCTCCACGGTGGAGGAACAACTGCATTTCATCTTCCGCATCTTAGGAACCCCAACTGAGGAGACGTGGCCAGGCATCCTGTCCAATGAGGAGTTCAAGACCTACAACTACCCCAAGTACCGAGCCCAGGCCCTTTTGAGCCACGCACCCCGACTTGATAATGACGGGGCTGACCTCCTTACCAAGCTGCTGCAGTTTGAGGGTCGAAATCGGATCTCCGCAGGGGATGCCATGAAACATCCATTCTTCCTCAGTCTCGGGGAGCCGATCCACAAACTTCCTGACACTACTTCCATATTTGCACTAAAGGAGATTCAGCTACAAAAGGAGGCCAGCCTTCGGTCTTCATCAATGCCTGACTCAGGCATGCCGGTTTTCCACGTGGTGGACACCGAGTTCTAAGCCACAGACCGAGGCCCCAGCAGGCAGCGGCTGGAGGGATGCCACAACCTTCACAGGGCAGCCCCCAACTACATCTTCCCTGCTTACTCTCTGCCTACCTGCCTGAGCCATGTTCGCCTGCCCACTTGTCCCCTGCTGTCTGCCCAAACACCCGACCATTGGCCTGTCAACCCACCCACTGGCCCGTCTGCTGGGTGCTAACAAAGCGCTCATCACTCCTTCAAAAAAAAAAAAAGAAAAAAAAAAAAGAAACATATTGCTATGAAAAATAATAATTCTAAATTAATAAAATAATAGAAGATGATGATAGATTAGGTAACTTGTTTCATAGATATGTGTCAGGCTGTTTTATTCAAAGCCCTGCAATCTAGATGAGTTAAACAGTAAAATGAACACAGGGCTAAGATGGAAGATTGAGGAATTCTAAGAATGCATATGAAAAGACAGACAAATAGAGAGGTAAAAGTAAATGCCCACCTCCAAGGAATTGCATGAGGACAGTGAAGACAGAACACACAGAGAGAAAATGATCAAAGAAATAACAAAAAAATGTTTCCTAGAATTCAAGATTCAGGGCTCAATAAATGCTAAAAAATGGTATGTAAATAGATTCCCAACTAAACATACCGTTTTAAAACCTCAGGACTTCAAGGAAAAAACAAACAAAACCCAGAAAATGCTAAAAGTTTCTAAACAGAAAAGCCAGGTTATGTGCAAATAAATGAGAATTATATTGACAATGAACAACTAATTAGCAATATTGCAAATCTTCAATATCTTCAAATTTTGGGTAAAACGTGATTCTGAAATTATAATTTTTACTCAGCCAATTAACCATTTAGAAATCAATAAAGTACATAATTAGGCCAGGCGTGGTGCTTCATGTCTGTAATCCCTGCTCTTTGGGAGGCTGAGGAGAAGGGATTGCTTGAGCTCAGGAGTTTGAAACCAGTGTGTGCAACATGGCAAAACCCTCTCTCTACAAAAGACGAAACAAAAAAAACCCCAACCCCCAAAACAATAGTTAGTTGAATCAACTGTTGAAACATAAAAAAAAAAAAAAAAAAAACAAAACAAAAAAAAAAAACTCTACAATAACAGTATGGAGTCAAAACCCCACAAATAAAATATATTTTTAAAAAGCAAGTATTAGCTTCAGAGGAAAAATAAAAAAGGAACTATAATCATACTGTACTACTTGACTCTAGAGTGAATAACTAGTTACAAAGTCAAAGCAATGTAAGCATTAATCACTGACATGATTCTAACATAAATTCTCAGGAGGCTAGGCATTTGGGGAGGTAATATAAAAAAACTACATCTTCATCTATCATATGAGAAAGTCAATAGAAATTATAAAATATTGATAAATTGAGAAATAACAGTATATCACAAAACAATAAATTTAAATTTAGATGATACTGTGGTGCCATTTTCTACCTGTTACACTAGCACAAACCCGAGATCTGAAGACACACATTGCTGGTGAGTGTAAACTGATATGGACAGACATTTTGACAATTATCAATCAATGTCATAAATGTATGCACTCAGTATTCCAGCTTAGAACTTTACTCCTCAGATTTCTAGGCATAGTTTGTAAAATGACATTTACGTGAGACTGCTCACTTTGTAAAGGCCAATGACCAAAACATGAGCTACAAACATGAAAGAAACTTCATTGTGCACCTTTTATATTTATTTATTAGTTTTATTTTTTATTTTTTGAGATGGAGTCTCACTCTGTCACCCAGGCTGGAGTGCAGTGGAGCCATCTCGGCTCACTGCAACCTTCACTTCCCTGGTTCAAGTGATTCTTCTGCCTCGCCCAGCTAATTCTGTATATTTTTAGTAGAGATGGGATTTTATTGTGTTAGCCAGGATGATCTCAATCTCCTGACCTCGTGATCCACCCACCTCAGCCTCCCAAAGTGCTGGGATTACAGGTGTGAGCCACTAATATTTATTTTTTAACCATGTGAACGCATTTATTGTTTACATGAGAGAGAAAAATAACTATATAAACATACTGTCTGGAGTAGAAAGACAAGTCCAATAAGGAGCTAGAAAGATGAAAATTGAGTGCCTTTGGGAAGCCACATTGTGGCTGATGGAGCAGCAGAGCCAGGTAACAGGAATGTTTTTATTATGAGCTGTCCATACAACTTGTTTTACCCAGGTGTATGTATTACTTTGTTTACAAATTTCAAAAGCAATGGCAAAAATGAAAAAGAAAAATGACAAAAGAAAAACAGGGCAGTTTGTGGCAGTTACATCACAAAATGGGCTGAAATGATTAAATGGATTTTAAAGGCTATTGCTTCAACACCCATAACATACAGTAGTTGGAAATAGCTAGTGGTTATAGAAATTGTAGGTATATGAAAATCAATGGGGGAGGAATTTTACGAAAGGTACATTTTCATAAGCAGTAATGAAAGCGTAATGTAAACTTTTAAAAAAATGTTTAAATTAATATGAAGAATGAGGCCAGGCACAGTGGCTCATGCCTGCAATACCAGCACTTTGGGAGGCTGAGGTGGGTGGATCACTTGAGGTCAGAGTTCAAGATCAGCCTGGCCAACATGGCAAAACCCAGTCTCTAATAAAGACACAAAAAACAGCTGGGCATGGTGGTGGGTACCTGTAGTCCCAGCTACTCAGGAGGCTGAGGCAGGAGAATTGCTTGAACCCAGGAGGTGGAGCTTACAGTAAGCCGAGATTGTGCCACTGCACTCTAGCCTGGGTGACAGAGTGAGACTTCGTCTAAAAGAAGAAGAAAAGAAAATATGAAGAATGAGTGTATAACATTAGGAGAAAATACTGACATAAGAAAAGGGGTCCTTTTATAGGGAGTTAACACGGCAGAAAAAAGCTCTAACACACACTGCATAAAACAGCAAATTAAAAATGCACACAGTGCAATCCCATAAAATTTTAATACATATAATATACATACGTAAGTATAGAGTACATACAAAGTGATTTTATTTCATATTATACTGTGTTTTTAGACTTTTATGTCTTACCTGTATAAATGAAAAATGTTGAACAACTATGTTCCATTTTATGTCAATAAAAATGAAAACTTACAGCAGAGCTTGAAACTGGAAGCCCATCTCCTACTTCATTTTTGTCTACCTATAAACCATTCTCTACAAAGCAGTCACAGTGATACTGGGTCAATCAGAGCACATCATTCCCTGATCCGATGGCTGCCCACTAAAGATAAATTCACTTTTCTTTTTTTTGAGATGGGGTCCCATGCTGTCTTTTAGGCTGAAGTGCAGTGGTGCTATCTCAGCTCACCGCAACCTATACCTCCCCGCTCAAGCGATTCTCCCACCTCAGCCTCCCAAGTAGCTGGGATTGCAGGCATGTGCTATAACGCCTGGCTAACTTCTTGTCATAAATCCACTTTTTCCCAGTGCCTTCAATGCCCTAACTGGGCCAGGCTCTGCCCACCACCTCTTCTCAGTCTGTTCTTAGATGCACCCTGTGGGTCTACCACATTCCTCCTTACAGGTCTTTGGATCTCTTATGTGTTTCTCATTGCCTGGAATGTTCTTCCCCTCCTTAGCCACCTGCTTAAACTATTGATCCCTTAGCTCCCAGTTTAATGTCACTTCAGAGGCTCTCCCTAAGACACATTCACCACCCGCATTCCAACACATGCCTTCGATCTCTTAGTGTTCCATCCTTCATAGGACTTACTGTATAGTAATACTCCAAAGAATTACATCATAAATGATGTTTAAGGGAGACTTACTTGCAACATCTAACTTGAGCTTGAAAAACAATGGCAACAATCTAATTTTTACCCTATTTCATGCATTAGATAGACTAATTTTAGGGCAGTATCCTTGGGATCTAGGAGTGTTAATAAATTTAAAAGAAGTTAAAGTTAAAAAAGAATTGGTGGGAGATTTTGATACTGAGGATGAGAAGAGAGAAACTCTTCTGAGACAGGGTCTCACTCTGTCGCCTGGGCTGCAGCCTGGAGATCTTTGTTCACTGTAGCATCAACCTCTCTGGCTCAGGTGATCCTCCCACCTCGGCCTCCCACTTAGTAGCTGGAACTGCAGGCATGTGCCACTAGGCCCGAGTAATTTTTTATACTCTTTGTAGAGGGCGTTTTGCCATGTTTCCCAGGCTGGTCTCCAGCCCCTGGGCTTAAGTGATCTTACTACCTCTGCCTCCCAAAGTGTTAGGATTACAGGAATGAGACACTAAGTCAAATTTTGTTGGAAGATCTTTCCTTTTCACCTCCTTGGCTACTTCCATCCAAATCATTTCCTGTGTGCCTACAAAACATGTCTAAGCTCAAGTTCTCAACTACTGACTCTTTCCTTGTCACTGTCTTCTTGTGTCATTGCTGAGTTGTCATCTTCACCCCATTCCCACCATTATCCTGACATTAACCTTAACACTCTCAGGAACAATTTACCCAACCCTCTGACCTCACATTTCTTCATCTCCACAGTGCTAATGATCTCAACCACACTTCATCAAACTGTGATGACCATAATCAGGAGTCCACTACCTGGACCCCTCTGCTCTTAAAATAGTAATCTCCCTAATATTCTACACTTTAAAAATCACTTCCTATGCTTTCTGTTTTTCCTCCTCCCTCATATTTGCTTCATCAAGGTCATCACCCTTAACCCTTCCTCTTTTTTACCTCTCAACCATAGTATGCTTCTGACCTCCAGGTTTCCCTAGTTGTATCCATCATATGTCCTTTCTTCTTCTAAACTAAGTAGTTGAACATTACTGGGAAAATAAAACAGTTACAGACACACACACCCATAAAACACTCTCCTCAGGGATCCCTTGGCTTAAAATACCAACCACTGCTAAATATTTATTTCCAGCCCTAACCTCTCCCCTCACCTCCAGACTCCAACTTTCTACCTTTTACATCTACACTGGGATGTATAAAGGTGCTTAAAACTTAACAGGTCCCAGCATTTGGGGAGGCTGAGGGGAGCAGATCACTTAAGGTCAGGCGTTCAAGACCAGCCAGGCCAACATGGTGAAACCTTGTCTTTACTAAAAATACAAAAATTAGCCAGGTGAGGTGGTATGCGTCTGTAGTCCCAGCTACTCAGGAGGCTAAGGTGGGAGGATCACTTGAACCCAGGAGGTGGAGGTTGCAGTAGGTCAAACAAACAAAAAACTCAACAGGCCCCAACAGTACTCTTGTTCCCAGCAATCTCCAT